CATGTGAGGTGGTGCAGGCTCCCACCCTGGGGGTTTTTAAGAGGAGGTTGGATGACCACCTTACTGGGGTCATTTGACCCCAGTGCTCTTCCTGCCATGGCAGGGGGTTGGACTAGATGATCTGCTTAGGTCCCTTCCGACCCTAGAAACTATGAAACTATGAAAGTTAGAAAATGTACAACCCTGTATTAACAGAAAGAAGCGTTAGATCTAATAGGACTGTTCTCCTCTATAAAGTCTACAGTTCTATGATACCATCAACTGTTTTTAATTCTAGTTCTGCACCATAGAAAAGAAAATGGGGATTCTCTTTTCTAAACACTACATGAATACAACATTTAAAAAAAAAAAAACAACAAAACTCCACATAATTAAAAGTAGATCATCAAAATAATCACAGATTAGTTACTGAAACATTCCACAAAATTACATTAATTATGGTTATTCATTAATTTTTTACTTGTAACTAGAGTTCTGTTTTCATTTTCTGCTCTGGCAAAAATTCAGACTTTCTTCCTGGTGCAGCCTGAAACCATAAACAAGAAAACTAAACACACACAATGACTCTTAACATAGCCGAGTAAAGAGTCCTGCTACACCTCCATTGGTCTGCTTTAGAGAACATTTGTTAGAATGTATTTTTGCTTCTTTCTTCTTATTGCAAAAGACACAGGTTTTTGGGTTTTTTCTTTTTTGTTTTTTTACCTGAATAAGAATGCTGGGTCCCCTCACTGGAAATTGGTGAAGTTCCTCCAATTGCTGTAATACCCTGTTTCTTGTTTATTGATTTTCGGAATGTTTTGCTAACATCTTTACTTTTCAGTTCCTGAATAATCTGCAGTACAACATAGAAGAGAAAGCTTTTCCTCACGGAATGTAAACTTACAAGGACAATTTAACATTAAGCTCACCCAATTCCTGGGTGTTGATAACTTTTGATTCCTTTTTCAAAAAGAATACCATATCAATACCATCAAGGTAGATTTAGTTACTATTCATCTACTACATTATGGAAGTCTGTTGGCTGGATGACTAGCTAAGGTTTTACCCTTACAAAGTTATGTAACTTATTCAAATATATTCACAACAATATACAGATCTTTTAATAGATGTTTTGGTGGATTAAAAAATTAAAAAAGAAAGAGAGGGAGTTGATTTATTTCTCAGTGCACAAGTCATACAATACTAACACCAAAAAATCTTGTAATATGAAGGATATTGTCAAATCTTACCAAAAATATGAAAATTATCAGATAAATTGGATAAATATACAGCATAGGCTGCAAGACAAATGTTTATCATTCAGTTAGTTGGGCAAATTAAATTATCCTGTAGAAACACCAGAAGACCCTAGATAATTGCAAAAAGTTCATTGTTTCAGCAGCAATAATCATTTTGCATTCAATCTACAGTGTTTACAAGAGCAAGGAAAAAAAATCAATCTGAAACTGTGCAATTCTCTCAAAAGAACACTCCAGCCAGTGACTTACACATAGAACACCACAAACCCTTAGGATTAATTATTTATTAAAACCAGGCCTAAATAGGGCACAGCAATTCAGCACAATGGTATAGGCATCTTGTGTCACAAACAATTCAAGGACTCAATAGTTCTTGAAGGTGAGGGGATATACTGCTTCCTTTCAAGAAGTAAAAAAAAAAAAAAAGAATTGTCTGAACTAGCTCTGAGTTCATCTGGACCAAACTGAACCTGCTAAGTAAAACAATAATGCAACAACTAGAAACAGAATACTACTTCTAACTAAAACTGCAAGGGGAACTGAGTAAGTTAATGTTGAAGTTGCTTGGGATACCAAGTATGTACCTTTATTCTCAGAAAATACCAGAGGATCTTAAATGACCATGAGTAATCAGGAACCCAGTTTTACATCTGCCCTGAAAGGCAATGTTTCCAATACTAGGGTCTTTGCACTGCCCTGGCACATTTGTTCAGTGATGACTCAGAAGGAAGACTGCTATACAACTCAGCTATCTATTATTTACATTCTCCTTTATGGTACACATCCAATTACTAAACTAGCCAGTTTGAGAGATTTCAGGGAGTAATAGCAATTGAGAAATAATAATGACAAAGAAGTCAAGCACCCTTCTTTGATTCTTTTTACAGGGGTGTATGTTGTAGCCGTGTTGGTCTAAGGACATAGGCAGACAAGGTTCTTTGGGTAAATCTGATATCTTTTGTTAGACCAACTAAAAATTGAGTTGGTTTAATAAAAGTTATCAGATTTGCCCTAGACCCTTGTCTGCCTTAGTTCTTTTTATATTCTTTTCCAAAAATGGAACCCAGAGGGCACAGCAAAAACTAAAGAGAACTCCATATCATATAACTGCGGGTAAAAATCTTATGTTATTTAAAATATATTATTACATTTATTACTATTAAATAGAAATAGCAGCCATGGATCTGAGCCTATTATGCCCAGGCACTGGACAACATGCACAGAAACAGTCCCTGCCATCTACAGCTAGATGCAGAGACATAAGGAATGTAGTTAAAAAAAAACCCAAAAAACCCACCACACACCAAAAAGAATATCCTAGGCAAAACAGCATGACTCTAGCACACCAGCTGCCTATTTGTTGCTTTGGAAAAGGTTATGTGCTGATATAATATAACATGCTACAACATCTCAGCATTATGCTAACTATTTGAAATAAAAAAAGATTATTTTAGTTTCCTTGACAAGCTTATGTTGGAGTGGTCAATATCTGCATAATAGTTAATCAACTATCCTGCTATTATAACTATCTTTGCATTCAGGAATCAGCAAAAGTTTGTAATTACTGTACAAGCTGCTCTCAAAACATTATCTAGCAATTCAAATCTAAAGTTAGTCTATCCAACCCTTCCTCTTAGAGATTTCAGGCAATTTGGAAGCTTACATTTCCAGTCAGGCATGGTAAATAATTCTTTAAAGTCGATCTTGACTACATAATGGACTTCACAAGAACTAAGAATATGATTCAAAAGGAGCCAAAAGCAGCAAAGTACAACATTTCTATTGAATGTCTGCACACATTTTGTTACTCAAGTGTTAATCTTATAATCTTTCAGGGATTGAGACCTTTTCAAGAGGTGTACGTTGTAGCTGTGCTGGTCCAAGGACATAGGTCTGTCTATGACCCTGTCAAGACACTTAACGTTACTGGAGTAATGGCCTACCTCCTTCCCCTTATATTCTTGACTGAGTTATCATGGACACATCCCTTCCTACTCAAATGTCCTATGACACGAAATTTAATTATACTTAGTTCAGACACAGTACCAGGTAATGTTTTGTGTAAGGCAAACCTACAGTACATTACAATATCCTTTTTAAAATAGTCAGTCATTGTCTCATCTGACATTGTAAAATTTAATAATTTAGAATATTGGTATAAAAACAAATAACTCTGTGTTAAAGGGCAGCTTGAGGAGACTGTATTACTTACTGAGACAAATTCTTCAAAATCGATTTTCCCATCCTTGTTGCTATCTGTCACAGCTATAATTTTTTCTATGATCTCTCGCACTTTGTAGCCAGGCAAGGGAAGGCTTGCTTCTTTAAAGAGATCCTGAAGCTCATAATCGCTTACATACCCGCTACTGTCAATATCTGAAAATAAGAGTGTTAGTTGTTTTCATGTTTGTGTTACAGAATAATACAAGTTGATAACTAAAGGGAAGGAACACAGAAGGAAGGGAAGGAAGAAAAAGGGAAGAAAATGGTACAGTACAGAAACACAGCATTTCTCCTAGTGAACAAACTGTGTATTATATATCCAAATATGAAGGAATGCATAAGGGTTGATCCACAGCTATTTTAAATTACCACATCATGAAATTAATGAAGTTCTGTTGATTTATACCAACTCAATAATAATAAAACAATTATTTATTACTTCTATTGTGCCAGAACCCCATCATGCTACACGTTCCTCAGAAACTCTCTTAAAGTTTTCCGAAGTGGAGACACAGCAAAATCACAAATTCTTGTAAAACAGTAAAATTTGGCATTTTATCCAACATAACATGTACTCCAAGGTCTATTATTCATTATCCTCTAACTCGCGATACATTTTCGAATATTGTCATACAGTTATAGTTTATATCCTTATTTCAGTTTCAAAGAGGTTTCAGAGACTTGCACTAGGGCTGAATTTGACCCTTGGTATTTTCTCTTTCACCCAAATTTCCAAGATACACTTTTTACTATCGATGTACTACATTTAACTGCATACCTGGCAGGAAGGTGGTGGTGGGGCCCTGGGGTTTGTGGGTGGACATGGGCTGCGCGCCATTGGGCTGGGCCAGCTGGCTTTGTGCCTCCACGTGGGGCTTCCAGCACTCCAGGGGGAAGCTGCATGTGGAGGCAAGCAGAAGCCCACCTGGCTCAACAGCACACAACTCTATGCCTCCAGATCCAGCTTCCCGCTGGAGTGCTGGAAGCCCCATGTGGAAGACAGGCCCAGACTAATGGTGTGTGGACCAGAAGCCATGTGCCATCAGGTCAGGCAGGAAAATCGTGCATGGAGGCATGGAGTAATGCGCAATTGGGCTGGGAGGGCTCCTGCTTGCCTCCACATGTGGCTTCCTACTGGAGTGCTAGAAGCCCCACATGGAAGCACACAGCCTGCCTGGCCCAATGGCACGCGGCTCCTGGTTCATGCACCATTGGGCTGGACTGGCTCTGTGCACCCATGTGAGGCTTCCAGCACCCCAGTGGGAAGCTGCACATGGAGGCATGGAGCCCGCCTCGCCCAATGGCATGTGGAGTCTGCCTGCAGTGCTGCAAGTCCCATGTGCTAGCATGGAGCTAACCCAGTCTGATCCGAAGGTGTGCACCAGCAGGCTGGGCCGGCTCCATGCCAGTATGTGCATCCCCTTGGTTAAATTCCACAATCACTGTAGTCATCCATTTCTATTGAAATAATTAAGTAAACTACTGAACTATATTCAAGTTACACAAGAATAATCAGCAGCAGAACCTAGCTTCATAAAGAATGGTAAAATGGAAGGGGAAAAAAAATCTTGCAGGGATTTGGGCGCTATTAAAATGCCCTTCAGAGATGTAAATCCTTTGTCTCTGTACATATTAGCTTATATCATGTCTAATCTACGTGTTTTATTATTCTTGACTTGCCAATATTATGAGGAATTGCTGAGGAGCAGAGAATACATTGGCCACAAACAGGCATTTCTTTCTAGTGGTGGGGTGACTGGGAAGGCACAGGGAGCATTCTCCTGCTGTTCAACTTCTCCAGGTCCCTAAGGGAAGTCAAGCAGCTGGAAAGTGTACAGACATTTATACTTTTGGGAGTGATTTCTATTGCATAGGAGATGAGTTATTTTTCTAATAGAACTGAACACCTGCACAGTTGTGGTTTTTGTGATCTATGATTCTTCTGGTAGAAACAATGTCTGGATGTGGCTACCAACTCAGCTACTTTCTATTTTAATTCTTTAATCTCTATTTTCACAGAGGGGTAATTTTCCAGGGTAATGGGCAATGTTCTTTGTTTATCACTTTATAGATATAGCTGTAAGTGAATGCAACATTTTTGTATGTGGCATTTAAAAAGTAATAAAAATATTTATGTTTGAGGTTTTTATTGATATTTACATTCAACAAAAACACTAAAAGACAAAACACCACCAAAAATGTAAAACCATAGATTGTTACAAACAGTAACAATGGTTATAGCATTAAATCCTTTAACAAATAGCATTAAGGGCCTTTAACAATCTGAATATTAAATCTAAATTAATATAAATAAGTATTTGACACCTAATGGGGCAGCAGCACAGACAAAGCTGGAAGGGGAAGTGGGAAAGCCAAAATAAATTAAGGAGTTCAAGATTCAAGGGGAAAGGAGGAGGAAAGAAGAGTGTAGAAAACCATTGGGTATTTTTACACATGTATGCGCTGCCCCGTGCTGCGATGTGTGTAGTTGTATAGCAGAAAAAATGTGCATCAGTGCACAGAAAATGGCGGTAGTCTGCTTTTGAACTAAAACACATGCAAAGTGTTTTAGTTCAAAAGTAAACCACCTCCATTTTCTCTGCACTAATGTTCATTTCGCTGCTTATACAACTTGCAAACGATGCAGCACAGTGAGTGTCAGCTTGTGTGCAGAGCAGACTCGATTATTGGAGTCTGCTCCGATGCACTGGATCTCTAGTATATTGCAGTGCAAAAAAGTATGTGTATAAATGCATATTGGGCCCGAGATATTCTGTAGTCAGTTGTTTTACAAATGGAGGCCGGATTTCTTCAGACTTGAGCAGTTGACCCCTCTGGCAAAAGATGACCCTTTTTCTGGCTGCTAGTTCAGAGAGACTAGAATACTACTGTTGCTGTTATTATGCCATGATTTACTTCTGTATTTCTTTAAAACATTTTTTGTGTTGATGGCTGCTTTTAAAAACACCAAGCCCTGAGCAGGTGTTTATAATCATATAATCATATTTACTCAAATCTAAGATGACCCCCTAATTATTAGATTCTCTATATAAAAAATTAATACATTTGTCATAATTTTTCCAGGTATGATATCTAATTATTGGAGGTTTGTCTTAAATTCATCCCCTACACCACTGCTACAGCAGGCAAAGCAATGGCTGGGAAGGGGGTAGTTGTCAGGCAGCCCCCTTGCCTCCCCACCACTTCTTCCCTTTGCAGCCCTCCTGCACCCCCACCCCAGCTCCCCACAGTCTCTGCCTCTCCCCACTACTCTCCACAATCTCTGCCTCTTTCCCCTGCAACACATTACCCACAATCTTTTCCCCTTCTCCACCCACCACTTACAGTCAGATGCTGCTCAGGCTCTGTTCCCTGCTGGGGAACAGACCGCAGCACATGGAAGTGCAGCACTTCCTGGCACATGCAGCAGTGATGGCACTGCTTATTGGCCAAACAGGAGATGGAGTTTGTTTGAACTTGGTGCCTGGGAGGATATCCAGCCTAAGACAGAGCCAAGCTTCACCTAACAGTAAACAGGGGTAGAGGGGGGAAGGCAGACAGAAGCTACAGAGGGCAAGCAGAGGTGAGAGCAGGAGGCTGGTGTGAGTCTGACTCTGGCCCCAACCTAGGCTGTAGCAGGCACCTGCCCCCTCAACTTTCCCCCTTGCCACTAACAAGTCTCTGACAAAGGGCTTTCCCTTTGCAATGCTGACTGGTAGAAAAAACTTAATCCTAGATTAAAAATAAATATGGTAATATCCCATAGTTTTCAAATACTGCTCAAACCTCAACATTATTTCAAATATATTATCAACTTCTTTCCTTAGGAAATTTAATCAAAGGACATTCCCACAACATGTACGGAAGTGTACCTTATGGTGGTAAGGACACCAGCTGGGGCCCCAAGTTATCTTAGAATGTGTATCCAATACATTCTATTTTTTGTTGATTTTTGCACCATATAATAAAATGGGCCATTCTGGAATCTTTAAAGAATGCTCCAGCAATTTGTCTCAGATATTGATATTATCTTTAAAATGTATAGTCCTTTTCCACACTTCAAGAAGGATGCAGACAGATTAGAAAGAGTTCAACACAGAACAACAAAAATTATTAGAGGCCTGGGAAATAGGACTTATGAGGAAAGGCTGAAAAACTAGGGTTAATTAGTCTGGAGAACAGAAAAGGGGGGGCATTGATAACAGTCTTCAAATACCTGAAGGGCAGTTATAGAAAGGACAGAGACAAGCTTTTCTCTGTGTCCATAAGGGACAGGACTAGCAAAAATGGCTTCAAGCTGCAACAGAGGAAATTAGGTTGGAGATTAGGAGGAAATTTCTGACTATGGAGGGTGATCAAGTGTAAGAACAGGCTACACAGAGAATTCAGTTCCTGGGAATTTTCAGAAGCAGACTGGACAGACACTTGGCTGAGATGGTTTAGTCAGGAATGATCCTGCCTTGAATAGGGAGCTGGATTAGATGACCTTGTAATGTCCCTTCTGGCCCTATTTGAAAATCACCTTGGTTGAGAATCACTGTCTTAGACCAAAAATCAGTACGTAGAGAAAAATGCATAATGTCTTTTTATTATCTGCTTGAATCTCCACATATTCCACATTCTCATCTCCTATACTGTAAATTCCAGTGATCTCCTGGACCAGACTGGCTTGTAGTCAACCGAGGAAGGGTCTATCTACTATAGGATCTACAACCTCAATAGTCATCTACAGTTACGATGAAGACTTGTGTCTCTCTCTGAAGTTCAGCAAAGAGTCAATGAAAACTCTGGGTTACTTATACTCAATGCATATATTTTAGTCAGGATCACTTCAGACTCATTTAAAATGACTCCAAGAGCAAAAACCATATAAGCTTATGTAATCACATGTATACTGCAGTCTGGAAATGAAGGTCAGTTAATACAGAAATAAATTATTCAGAATGTAATGCTTGCTTTTAGATCTTAACAGCAAAGACCCTGTTAAGCACATGAAATAATCATTAACATGACTGACTCGAAATAAATGCAATATCAGGGATCACTAAGTTAATCTTACATAAAAATGTAAATTGGACTTAACTAGGTGCAAGAGAAATAGTTATTAATTCACTAAGACCCGTCCCCAAATTAAAAGATCCTAATAAATTTGGACTCTGAAAGCAGAAATATATTTGGATCAAAACCACTGAATTTGAAATCGTAATATTGTTCAGCCTTCAAAACACAAGAATGAAACTACCCAGGAGCAAAAATAAAACTGGCAACTCTGTTTTACTGTCCAAATTGAAAGGAGTGTATAAATTAAGCAAACAGAACAAATGAATTCAATCAATAAATCAATCAATAATACAGCTTTCCATTTTTTTCATTTTTAAGTGTTATTAGAAATGCAGGCAAGACATGTCATGTTCATAAAATATATGTAGGTTTTAACCTTACTTAATTCATTTAAGAGTAAAAAATATATAATAAACTTGGTAAAGGTATGATGCTTACATTCTTGCATGTAAAACATACCTATTTTATTGAATGCTTCTCTTAGCTCTTCCAGCTCTTCACGAGAAATAGTAGTTATGTTGTTTTCCATCTTCAAACAGCCAAAATAGTTGTTTTCAATTCCTTCTACCTAGCAATAATAATACTGCGTTGTTATAAAGCATCTGTTCCAAGGAGGCCTATACAGCTATGATGTTGAAAAACTAGGTATGACACTGGAACAAATGAGACTCTTCACTGGCACAATTTTACCCTTTCCCCCACAGTCCATAAAGAAAGTTTGAATCATAATTTCCATTTGAACTCCCAAATTCAGTGCACTACACCCATCACCTTCTTGTTGTAAGGACCTTAACAGGCAGCATTTAACAGCCCCTGCTGGATCCACAGACACACACAAGTCCCTACAGTTAATGTTTTTACTTTTTCTCCTGAAAGAAAGCCAGAAAATAACAGATTTGTATCTTATTAGCAGGGATCAAGGTTTTTCATTCCCCACTGAAAAACACAGTAAAACCCACAATTTTTAATTTTAAGGAGAAACCCCCAGATTTTCTCCTTTAAAGGAGAAAAACAGGGGAAACAGTGGGTTTCCCTTTGCAGGCTGACAGAGTTCCAGCCTGCAAGGGGCTGGGGGGAGCAGGAGGGGATCCGGTAGGGGGCACCATGTGCATGTGGGTGTGTACACATGACCACGGCTGCCAGGCAGCTTGGAGAACAGCTCCCTACAGGTAAGTCGGGGGAGGGAGGGAGGGGAGGTGGGAGATTGAGGCCCTCTTAGTGAGGGAGGGAGGGAGTTGGGCAGGGCCGGGGCTGCTGCCCAGTCAGGGGGTGCGTGGGGCTTGGGGCCTGGATGCATGGCCGCAGGGCCCAGGCAGCAAGAGGGATGGAGCTGCCAGTGGCTCATCTGGAGGGGCAGGCTGGCTCCCCGCAGCTATGCACACCCCCACAGAGGGCATGGGGGACACTTGTTCCCCCAGATTTGTGCATGAGGCTGGGACAGATGCAGGCTGCCCATTGTGGCCTCAAGTTCCTTGCCCTGATGCCATCCCTCTGGGGCCTCTACAGCCCAGCAGGAAGACCTGGCAGAGCAGGGCAGAGCGGGGTGGGGAAACTTGATGCAACCACTGAGAGTCCTGTGCCACCCTGGTGAAGCATGTCCTGCCCATCCAGCAGCAGTGGGAATGGTGGCATGGAGTTTTCTGCACTGCTGCCAGGTGGGCAGCAGGTGTCTCATCATGGTGGTGCAGGGCTTGTGGCGATGGCATCAAGCTTCCCTGCCCAGCCTCACTCTGCCCTGCTGCGCTGAGTTCTGCTTGCTGTG